ATGTATATACTTATAATATATAGTCGATCGCTAATTTCCTCGAAAGAGGCCCGAGAGGAAAAGTGCTTAGGCGCGACTAAAACCGGGGAAAAGTCAAGCTCATTTTGTTCAGAGCTGCGTGATATTAGTAAATTAAATTAACTTCTTCTTGCTTTCTTCGTTTTGCATTTCAAAATACAGTCTTTGGGCAAGGGTACAAGTAATCAGTTTGTGCCTTAATGTTCCCGCTTCGGAAACCTCTTGTTGCGTCACAAGTCTTTCTTTGGCTTGACTTATGAGAGGAAGGTGTGGTGTACTGATAAATCCATCCTTAATATACGAGCTAATCTACGAATTTGGCACTATGTTTTGAATACCTTCTCACAAAGAAAACTTTATTGCAGAAGTCAAGAAGTTCACTCTGATTTCTGCAAATACCTAAGATTTTTACCATTATGTTAAGAATCATATCTGATAGTTTTGTTGCTATAGTCATCAATTTTATTAGACAAGCTGGAAACTACTCTACGACTTGTTTTATAGTTAAAACCAAGAACTTGGTTTCAATACTAGTTTTTTTCATGTTTTCTTTATTCAGGCTGAGTGGTTAATCTCTTTAAAACTGTTCTCCTTCCTACCCATTCATATTCAATTTCCTCATTCGTCGATCACTGCATGTGTATGTCTGTATGTTATTGACGATTAAATCGAATGTTCGGAGTAAGGGAGTTTAAAAATATAAGTCAAGCAAAAAAGACGACTGTTGAATTATGACGACGGAATAAGATGCGTTTTTGGTTCCCTAGACTGCTTATATAAATAGAACAATCAGGATGGTCAAGTCAGGTCCTAATTGTAATAAGAAAGAACAAAATTTCATCCCTAGAAAACATCTTTGTTTTGTAAAATGTTCGGTAGTTCTTTGGAGTCGTCACATTATGACGATGGAACATGTTCTATGCCTCTATCGTGTCTTTGGACAGAATTGTGAACTTATCAAGCTTGCAAGAGAATGTTAGTTTCACAACTCGCTTTCCAATTTCATTTTCTAGAAAATAAATATGGAGCATATAGACTTCAAGGACTAAGCACTTTGTATCCGTTATCGAATCGAGAAACTGCTTAACAATAAATCCTTGGACCTTCTGCGCAAGAATGACACCCATTTTTAGCAATTGAAAATAAGAAGCATTTAGGATAGAAACACGAAATTATTTTGTTCCAGTAACTAATCTATCAGATAATTGGGAACAGTAAATTTATGTTATCGGTTTTCATATTTTGTCTTCTGGAATCTTTTGTCAGCTGGCAAGCCTTATTTATGTACTGACTTAATTTATCTTTCTGCCAGCATTAAGAATTTTAGACTGCTGA